CAACTTTGGGGGACCGGCCCCCGGCTCAAAAAGGTTGCCTACCCCTGAACTAAATCCTCCTGTATTTATTTTCTTTTTGCTTTTTACCCCTCTACTTCTAACTATCTGTCAAAATGTATCTACTACTACTGTTTTATATTATATAACTTTTTCTCAACTCTGCTTAAAAATCATCAGATTTCAATAATCAAATTAATTAATTAAGGTGGTTGTTCGCACAGAATTGGAAGTATAATAATACAACTTCACAAGAGGACTGGTTGAACAAAGTATATAATCTGGCTGAGATGGATGTATTAACGCATTAAGAAAGGGAGTCATAAAGATTTTGTAGAGGAATGGAAACCCTTCATTGACTATATAGCAATGTAAAGGGGGAAGTCTATATACTTTAGGATTTAGCAAATGATTTTGGTGTGATAGATTGTTAGAATAAATAAAAGATGGACTGATCATATAATTGATTAATTAATTAATTTTGGTGTGATGGATTGTTAGAATATATATATAAAGATGGATTGCTTGTATAATAGATTGATTAATTGATTAAATGGTTGGTTGCTTAATTATTCATGGATTTGATTATTATGTTCTATTTAGGAATCTCTAGGTTCTCCAGCACAACTCTGTGGGCAACTTCTACCAAAAGTCATGTTAGAGGACCTAGAAAGTCCTAGAGAGAACTCTTCTCTAGGCATTTGTAGGTCTTCCAGCACAATTCTATGGTCAAATTGCAGCAGATGTTGACCATAGAATTGCCTTGGAGGACCTAGAGATTCCTAGAGAAGTGATCTCTCAGGTTTAAAAAAATAGTGGGTTTTTTTTAATTTGCATCCCCTCCCCATTTTCACAGGGGTCCTGAGTCTCTAACCCCAGTGAATGTGGAGGGTCTACTGCACTGGATTTCTTTTAATTTATGTTTTGTTTGTTTTGAAACAAAGACAATCATAACATTCTAAGAGCAACCCTCAAACATTAACTTAGGCATTCAACCAAAATTAAATGGCATAACAAAACGGAGGTGTTGTGTACAGAAGTCACAGAGATGTGAGTAAGAATCTCTTGCTGCCTTAGTACAAATGGTTGTTATGAATCTGCCTGTATAACATTCCCCCCCCCCCCAAAAAAAGTGGTGGTTTGAGGTATTGAATGTAGTTCTGTAATTGCAAGGAAAGGGACTCAGGGCTCATTCCCACTTACATTTAACCTGGATTGCAATTCCCTTTTGCTCCAGATTGGTGAATTGATTCCAATCGATGCATCATTCCCACTATGGAAGCAGGTCTTTTCTTTATTTGCTTCTTTTTTGGCACGATTGCCCTTCCCACTAGTTTGTGCTGCTTCAAAATGCCTGTCAATCATCTATGCGTCATCAGTGACACAACCAGCAACACATTCAAGAAAACACAGGAGGGAGTCATGGGTGCCGTGGCCAGAATTCTCCCCTGGAATGCATACATTTATGGGTGTCATATGGAAGACACTCCCCTGGGATGCATGCAGCCTTGGGTGTCATATGGAAGACTCCCCTACGATGCATGCAATTTTTTAAAAAAATTGTTAGTATATGTGCTCCATTATTTTCGCAAGTACTTGTCTTGTTGAGCCACAGTAGGTCCGCTCGCCCAGCTATATATAATGTGTCCATACGTCACATCACAAAGCACAAAAGGAGGGCTGAGAGTGGGGAAATGATGAATTTCCCCAAAACCTGGTGAGGGATGTGCCAACCCTCTGCCACAGTAATCCCTCAACTTCAGTTTGATGCGACTCAGGTCCGTTGTTCCCACTTGCTGAACATGCTTGCTAATCGCTTCTTTTCAAAAGGACCGCCAAAAAACTAGTGTCTGACAAAAGCAATTTTTTTGCATTTGTCTCGCTTCAAAGCAAGTACAAACGATCACAGTTGCATCTGAAATTGTTTCAGCTGGAGACGAGGCACATTTAAAGCGATCAGCAATTCAATGTAAATCATAATGGGAATGAGCCCTCAGGCTACAGATGTGGACTAGGCATATGCAGTAATACAAGCTGACAATGGTTCCAAACACACTGCAGAAATAATCCAGTTTGAGACTGCTTTAACTGCCTGGGCTCAGTGCTAGGGAGTCTTGGGAATTGTAGTTTATTGTGGCACCAGAGCTCTCTGACAGAGAAGGCTAAATGTCTCACAAAACTACAGTTCCCAGAATTCCCTACCATTGAGCCTGGGCAGTTAAAGCGGTCTCAAACTGGTTTATTTCTGCAGTGTGATTTGGATCTATATTTCCAGAGAGACCCAGTGCAGTGTAGTAGTTGGTATGTTGGGCTATGGGTGCATCTACACTGTAGAAATAATTCAGAATAATGTAGAAATAATCCTTCTCAGTGAAGTTTTACCTGTGGATTTCCTGCACTGGCAATGGGGCTGGATTAGATGACCCTCAGGGATCCCTTTCCAGTGCTCCTGCTGCTGCTTTTTAGCTGCTGATGTAACCTAACACAAATCATCCCTTCCAGCCATTGTCATTATCTCAGTTTAGAGGCAATTGCACAGCATACCAATCCTCTTGCTCTTTTCCTCCTTTCAAGACAGTGTCTTTTGACTGTCTCTGAACCAAATAACCTTTTGGCAAAACACTCCTGATTCCTCTAAAGATTTGAGCATCTTGGCTCATTTCCCAAAGGCTTGCCTTTGCTAGCAGCTTAGCTATTATTGTATTCTGGTTCAGAGTGTCTAGCATGGGGTGGGGATGAAGACGAGTGTCTTTATTTAAATTAAATAAAATTAAGGATGCTGTGACATTGGAGCCAATGCACTAGGAAGACCAATTTGGGTGAATTCCCACACTGCCAAGAGGGTGGTCTAGATGACCCTTGGTATCCTTTCCAGCCATATATATATATATATATATATATATATATATGTGTGTGTGTGTGTGTGTGTGTGTGTGTGTGTGTGTGTGTGTATATATATATATATATCAAGAAAAGGAGAAAGGATCCTTTTTTTCATTTTGAATGTTGCAACTCATGCCAGGAATTTCTTACGATAACTGATTTGATATAAGGACCCCTTTTTGGGTCCCTGCCATGGCCCTGGACTGAAAGAGCCCCTATCGCCATGGACTCAAGGCGAGTGCATCATGTAGGCACCTGAAAGCTCACATCTGCACTTACAACAATTTGCAGATCAAAAGGGTGAAGCCTAGAGCTGCAAACCAGGACATTCACACCTAAAGGATTTATGAGTGCCAGCCAGGATGTGTCCAGCTGCTGATGAGATAACATTAACATCACATCGCCTCTCCTTGGAAATTGTCTACTTCAAAGCATAGCAATTGGAATCCTTTGATATACAATAGCAACACTTTGTCTCAGGCTAGGTTTAAGGATATAAATGCTCCTCAAAATCTCAGGCACATTGGAGTCTGGCTAAATTTCATGGTGACATTGCACCACTGTGAACTCTGATTAGAGTCCTGGTTCTTTCTGTTGTTCTTTCCTTTTCATAACAGTTGAGTCTATCCCAGGGGTCCTCAAACTTTTTGAGATGGGGGTCGGTTCGCTGTCCCCCAGCTCATTGGAGGGCTGAAGTAAAAAAAAAAAAAAAAAAAGGCGGCCAGAAGTGCGTGCGCACATGCACACATGCACGCACCCCCTTCCTTTCTCTTCCCATCCTGCCCCGCGACTGGGGGCGGGGCTTTGTGGGTGACGAAGAGAAAGGCTGCTCGCGCACAACTCCAGCCGCCATTTTTTATTCCAAAATGGCGCCTGGAATCGTGCGCGCATTTGCATGACTCCAGCTGCCATTTTTTGTTCCAAAATGGCAGCTGGAGTTCTGCGCATGCGCGCGTGATCCCGGGTGCTATTTTTTGTTCCAAAATAGCGGCCGGACTCCAGGCACTATTTTGGAACAAAAAATGGTGGCCAGAGTCGTGCACATGCTAGAAAGGCAGCGACGGCGGTGGCGGCAGGACCGACCACGGGTCGGATACAAGGCCTCGACGGGCTGGGTTCGGCCTGCGGGCCATAGTTTGGGGACCCCTGGTCTATCCGGTTGGAACAGCATCCTTCAGGTAATTATCACCATTAGAAAGCCTTCTGTTCTCTCTCCAAGTTAACTACTTTATTCCTAAGTTCTTGTGTGTATGTTAGGGTGTCTTTGTATGTTTGAATCCCCAAATAAATTACAGTTCATTGGAAAGCTTTGGCTCTATCAGTCTATTCCCTAGCCACCTTCGTAAACATAGGATAAAAAATCCCATAGAAGACTTGGACTTTAGCAATTCCCCAAGTTCAAGGTCTTCATTACAAATTATGAGAAAATACTCCAGCAACATTGTTTGGATATTTTAAACAAACTGCAACAACTATGACAACAAATAATACACAACAAACAGCCTCCTGAAACGTTTGCCTCATCTGGAGGAGCTTTGCGTTAATTGCTAGGATCAGGATTTTGGTTTTGTAGACAATGCCATCTTAAAATTAGTTTTTCTGCTGCCAGGATTTGATAGGTGGCAGTGCCCTGTTTTTGTTTTACTTTTTGTTTGTAAGGGCTGATATTTCTATGGGATGATTTATTGCACTGTTTAATGTTCAGTGTGTGTGTGCGTGTGCATGCATGCATGCAGAAGGCAGAGAAATGAACAATCCTGTCCAGTTACAAGGAAGAAAAAGCGAAGAGCCAGTGGTTTGAGTGTTGGACTACAACTCTGGAGACCAGGGTTCAAATCCCAGCTCAGCCATGGAAACCCACTGGGTGACCTTGGGCAAGTCACGCTCTCTCAGCCTCAGAGGAGGGCAAAGGCAAACGTTCCCTGGACAAATCTTGCCTAGAAAACCCTGTGATAGGGTTGCCTTGGGTCAGGAACGACTTGGAAGCACGCAACTGCAATAAACAACAACAACTTTATATTGAGAAATCTGTTCCCAAAGGCTTGGTGGGATAAAAAGAGCTTTACCTGCTTTTGGAAAGCTTGCAAGGAAGGTGTCAATCTAACCTCTCTCACTGACTTCAAAGGTTTGGGAGCACAAATATGTTCAGAATGAGGTCCTTCCTTGGCAATGCGTAGCCCTACAATTATTTGTTGTTTATGCCATTCATAAATTGAGGTTGTTGCTCCATTCCACGGCTGTGAGCTGTGATCTTGCAATGCGTAATTTATGGCTGAATCTTCCCCAAAGGCTTAAAATAGCCAAATCCTCCGACTCCTTGGCCTGTGTGAACTGCAAACATTTGGGGACCATTTGTGAGCTTTGCAAAGGATGTTGTTGAATGAGGATTAAAAGACGCAGTCTCCCAATGGCAGGCTTATTGGTCGATGGATCTAACTCCAAAACTGGGGATAGAAAGAATATTCACTGTTATTCATTACCTTGGTGGAAAAAGGGAATTTCCTGATACTCAGGAAACCCTTTTGGGAATAACAACAGAGAAGTAAGACTTCTGTGTCCACATAGTGCAGTGGTTTGCATGCTAGACCTAGGCTCCAGGAGACCTGGGTTTGAATTCCTGCACAACCTTGTTAACCCCCAGGGGAACACTCTCTCAGCCTCAGAGAAAGGCAGTAGCGGGAAACACCCTCTGAATAAATCTAGACATGAAATAGAGACAGTATGGTTCAGTAGTTTGAGTGTTGAATTAAGCCTGCATCTACTGCACTGCAGAAATAATCCAGTTTGACACTACTTTAACTGTCATGGCTCCATGCTACAGAATCCTGGGATTTGTAGTTTTGTGAGCTATTCAGTCTTCTCTGTCAGAGAGCTCTGGTGCCACAGCAAACTACAAATCCCAGGATTCTGTAGCATGGAGCCATGGCAGTTAAAGTAGTGTCAAACTGGATTATTTCTGCAGTGCAGATGCAGACTACGAAATGAGGAAGAAGAGACAAGCTAGGAGAGGCTGCAGCTGTTTGCTTTTGCCTGCGTCTCCTGGGAAGGGTAGGCGTCCTTCTTTCGACTCTCCCCTGCTGAAGTGAGTGCAAAACTATTTGGATGCTTTGAGCTCTGTTTGCAGCAAATGAAGGAAGCTCAGGACAAAGTGGGAAAAGGAAAGAGAAAGCAGGACATTTTAAAAGCAGTTGGGAAATTAGAATGCCAGAGGATTAATTGGGACTGGCCCTATTCAGAGTGACCAGATGCCCTCTTTTTCCAGGACATGTCCTACATTTTAGCCTTCTGTGCAAGAAAAAATCCAAAAATGGCCTTCATTTTGGAACATGGCAAAGGAGCATGAATTTATATATTTCTATGAGTGCTCTTAGCTTTTATTTGGTAATGCCCTTCATTTTTATTGAATGTCCTACTTTTGCAGTGCCTTGTCCTCCTTTGCACTTAGGACATCTGGTCACCTTATCTTTATTAAATTAGGACAGTTGGAGGACATGAAATGGAATCAATAAATCAATAATATAGTGGGCCCTTGGTATCCGCTGGGGTTTGGTTCTAGGATTCCCCCATGGATACCAAAATCTATGGATGCTCAATTCCCTTTAAATACAATGGCATAGTAAAATTGTGTCCCTTATATAAAATGCCAAAATCAGGGTTTGCTTTTTGGAATATATATATATATATATATATATATATATATATATATGAAATGTTTTGAAATGGTTTTAATCTGTGGATTAAATCCATGGATATGGAGGGCCAACTGTACTGAAATCCTTGCATGCAAGGACGAAACAGGGGAGATTTTAGATTTTTATTCCAGATATTTGAGCTTGCCACAATCTATAAATTTGTCTGCTGCCTGGCAGAGTGAAAGAAAATGAGTTAAGAGCTAAGGAGAAGAATGGAATTCTTTGGAGAAGAGGATGGTTTACCCTTAGCCTTACTTGTCCCCATCCTCCGGGAATTTTTTACCTGCTGAAATGAATGGGATGCTTCTATGGCAGAGAGTCCCTGTTCCAGAAATGGCACCATCCATGATTAAGTTCTTCATGGACAGCCTGGTAGGGAAAGGGTTACCCCAAAGAAGGCTTTCTTTCCCTGTTGCAAAGCTTTCCTCCTTGCATGCTGTAGAAACCAGAGAGGCACAACAACACAATGAAAATTTAAAATATTAAAGAATATACAGACCCAAAAATGTATATATTGAGCATGGTCACGAATGAGAATTCAGAAAAAAACTATGGGAAACTTTTATTTTATATGACAACCGCAGCTATAGTGTTATATGCATCTAAATGGAAAAAGAAGAATTCCATGATATAAAAGATTGGTCATGGGAACTATATGATTATATGGAGACAAATAAATTGACTCAAATGTCGAGAATGAAATCTTTCAAATAAATTTAAGAAGGATTGGGATCTGTTGATAAATTGTTTGATGAAGGAATGGGGTTCAACTTTTGTTGTTGGTTTGGAGGGAAATAAATTAAAAAGGATAGTAGATTTGTGGTTTACATTTATAAAATAAATAAAAATATATAAATATGGAGTTTAAATTGAAAAAAATAGTAATTAAATCCAAAATATGGCTATATTACATCCGGACTCAACGTGACCACCTTGTCGAAAGGAAACTTTCCTTTACCTATGGATATTTTAATGTAAAAACAGAAGAAATGAAAAAATGCTAAGCTCTCCTCTTTGCATGGGGTAGAAACCAGAAAGCCACAACAATCTGGCTTGGCAATTATGGTTTTTCTCCAGTTTGGAAACCTCAGCAGTGGGCAGTCACTCCCGGGTGGCAGGAATGGGAGGATGCCTGGCAAGGAGGCATTTCTTCCCCCTCCTTTGCCCCACTTGATGGTTTTGTTTGCAAAAAGCTCCCATAGAATTGCACTTATCATAGGATGATTATAGGGAAGAATAAAAGGCGAGATGATATGCAAGGATTTCCTCTCCTCCACCACCCTCAGAGACTCTTGCATCCTGTGCTTGCATAGAAGGAGTATATCTGTGTCTTGTGTTATTTTCCATCAAGTAATTTCTGACTTATAGTGACCCTAAGGCAAACTATCTTGGGGTTTTCTTGGCAAGTTTCTTCAGAGGAAGGTTGTCATTGCCATCCTCTGAGGCTGAGAGAATGTGCCCTGCCCAAGGTCACTCAGTGGGTTTCCATGGCCAAGCCAGGATTTGAATTCTGGTCTCCAGAATCATAGTCCAGTGTTTAACCCACTACGCCATGCTGGCTTTAGGAATATATCTAGTCTGACCATATTTCCTTGAGACATAAATGGCACATTGGAATGGCAAAAACGGGATGGGGTTATGCGATATTCTATACTAATGAAAAAGTAGGATGATAGCAAAAGTTTTATTCACATGGGCATAGTGGAACCTTTTCCCCCAAAATTCTGTTTATGGTCTTACT